ATGCGTCGTCGCGCATGCGCCGCTGAGATATGCTAGACTCATGAGGTTGTTTAAGGAAGCAAAGTTTCCTTACTTTAGCAAAGGAAAACCAGTCTCCTCTTGACTTATATCGAAATCCTCCGACATTCTTCTTTACAAATCCTCGTTTTGTACTTCTAATTCGTGACCATTGTTTTGTTTGGATCTCTCCCCTGTGCTTCCGCGTTCATCACTTCTGAGTGGCGCATGCACAACGCCGACGTCCTACGTCCGGTACTACACAGAGCCGTTGTTCACTGACGAGCTGCGCAAAACCACGTTCAAAATCGCACGATTTTTTGCGCAGCTTGTCGGTGAACAACGGCTCTGTGTAGTAAATGTTGCTCTATGTGAAAGCTTAAGCTACGTGATGGAGATTTACCGCTGATTACAGAAGCGGCTTTACTGACAAGATGCGCATTAAATATCGCATGCGAGTTATCGTGCAGCCCTAATATATATATATATACACGTAAAATAACAGAAAAAGTACTGTCAGCTTATTATTTGTTAATTCTAAATACTGGTGAAACATCTTAAAATAATACAGAAAAAGTCCTTCAAATTATAAAGAACATTTTAACATATTTTTGCAGTTGTTTTTAGAATGTACATACATTTTATATAATAGTTATACATATAATTTTTATGAAACATACATTAAAATCTAAACAAATTTATGAAAACAAACACATAAATGCATATTTATGTTTATAATTTTATACACATTAAAAACGGTTTTATTCATAAATGCAATTTCATGCTGCTTAAAGTACTCAAAACCTATCTAATGCTTTTTGACATCAAAAATTAATAAGTATATCTATTCATCCAATTCAAACCCTTCTTGTTTCCATATCCACAAAATTTACATAAATATTTTATAATTTCTCCTTACATAGCCACGGTTGCACAGAAAGGGAAAAATTATTAACCAATACTATCATAGTCTACCATGGTCCACTTTTCACGGTCCAGACAAATCCCATATTGCATTATTTTCAGCTCCATATTCTTCTACACTCTGAAAACTGTCACATTATGGAAGATGAATGCATTGCAAAAATCCATTTCATGCTGTCTTTATAAGTACTTGTGGAGGAAGTACTCAAAACCTATCTGATTCTACTCGACATGCGAAAGGAAAAAAGAAAAATTACCCATTATAGGAACTCATTCATCCGACTCAAAGCCTTCTCTTTCCAAAACCACAAACCCCAAATAAATACAGCCCGCGAGAACTTGAAACGGCAATGGGTTTGCCCTCAATTTCAGGTGAATGACGACGGTTCCTCATGCGAGTTCATCTATCAGGCCTCTGGACAGGTCCACAGCAGGCCACGGAGATGAGGCCATAACTCAGCCCTGGCATCTATCCACTCTTTTCTCCATCTCTGCTCTGGGTGTGGGGATTATAGCATCACAGATATGAGCTCCACAAGTTATGGCCTCCACTCTGTAGCGCAGGTGTCAGGGTCGAGTGTGATTTGGAGATGGAGAGCAGATACAGAGAGCTCCCTAGGGAAAGCTGGACACACAGCACTAAAGTCAAGCTTACGGAGCGCCTAATGGACCTGAGTGATGGTATGTCACAACAGCATAAACGGTACACGGATTAGAGAGGAGGAAGTTTTTAAATGAGGAAGCGATAGAAAGTTTAGCTTCTTGTATTATTAGAGGGGCAATTTCCCTTTAGATTTACAGTAACTGTCATTTCAAAAATAGATTTAGCAGTGCATCATGTATAAAACCACAAGAGATGCAGATGCACTTTTAAAAGGCAACATATTTAAATCGGGAATATGTTTTTTCACTTAGAATTCTGTTATAAGACAATAATTCCTTTTAAGAAATTCTTCCAACATGAAACATCCATGAGTTGCCTGAAAAAGGAACTAAATGTCATGCTTAAAAAGTGACTAGGCAATCCACTGATGTATAATTCATACTGCCTTTGCCATCAAAACTTCAAATTTTTCATTTTTGGGAGCTTTTTAGCCAGCGTTTTGAAGCGAATGTTTTGTGCATTACTCTGGTCGCAATATATATGTGCAGAAACCACTTTGCTAAGTGCTCCGTTTCCTGTCTCCACATTAAAAATCATAACCCCCATTCCTCAATGCTTTTATTATGCTCCAAAATCAAATGCCAACGTCCCGTTTTTAATAAAGCCCTTATACGACTAGGGATATCTGATAGTGCTCACTTAAATGTTACCAACCTTGGTCCTCACAAGCCTTTGGTTGAATAACAGAGGTCAGTGCAGTGATTTAAGAGACCGTTCTCGTTTGCATGCGTGATATCAGGACTCCAAACCAAAAAAAGGCTTCTCTACCCCCGCCACGTCACATCTGCTCTTTCTCAAGGCAAATTAAATAACTAGCACAGGAGGCATAACACTGCCCAGGACTGGCCTGACACTTGTTTCTGCACTCATTCCACCTCAGGGAACGCCGTGAGACAAAATGTCATTTCTAGTTTTAAATGAAGCCTGCTACTAATCACAAACATGAGGCATTTGAAAACAGAAGGCACTGCTTGACAAATCTACTCAGACTGCAGCTTACACAACAAAACCAATACAGTGCACAATCTGCAATACCTGCAGTAACTGAAACTTTGGTTTTATTGCTCAGTCAGAGGATTCATACTTGCTCTAATAGCTATGCTATGAGGAAAATGAAAGAGAAATGCATGTCTTGACAACTAGGCCTGTCGCAATAATCAATATATCGACTTATCACGCAATATACGTACATGACCTCAATAATTTTTGGTGACGCAATATATCGCCCATTATATTTACTTAAAAATTAATGTCACAATGTTTTGTACATTCCACTTGCGCCTGTGTCTTTTGCAGCTTCTCGTACATAACGTGGTGTAGTCATGAGGTGCTAGTTCAAATTTAAAAAATGCTTCTACAAAAAGAGTTTCATCTGCAGATATGGCCTTGTTTAGGGATCTGTGCCTTTGTGCATGCGGACATCTGACTGCTAAGTAGTGATTGTGTTTTTCAGCAATAGTGTGCACCCTTAATTTACAGAGAAAAGAAGGTCAGGGAAAAATCTGTAGATGGGAAAATCTCCATACAAGTTCGTTGCTCATTTTTCTTTTTTTCCTACTTGTTACTTTGCACTTTTTGTCCTTCTTAAATTATTATGCTGTTACATTATGATTATATATTCAGTGGCATAAAATGGTCTTTAGAATGACAATAATATCGCTTATCGCAATTATTTCTGGGGCAATATATCGCACAACAAAAAGTTGTTATCGTGACAGGCCTATTGACAACCTGAGGAAAATGATAATTTCCTCATTTTTAAGATTCTACACATTTCTGAGATAGTCAAGTGAGGCAAGAAAGAAAAACATGTTAAGCCTATATGGTTTGTATAGCATAAAAATGTTGGTAGGCGTCTAATTAAATAAATTAGTCACTACAAATGTAGGAATCTAACCCTGGAGACATTAATTTCACATACTGGCGACAGTGGACGCTCTCGTCGCTCGCTTGCTCTCTGGATTATTGCTTCTCAACGGCGCGTAACTCTCCTGCAGCTCTAGTTTTCTTTAATGTTATTATAACGTGCCCTAACGCCACTTAGGAAAATAAATGTGTCATCCCAATGGGGTAGAGGGGTAAAAAGATTATGAAAAGCTACCGTTCTCCATGTGAGAGAGTTAATGGAGATGTGGCTTTTCCGTCCGTTAGAAACAAGTGGCGGGACCAAGGGAGATAGCCTACTTGTTATACAACGCATACTTGAATATCACAAAGGCTGGCAGCAGAGATTCATGATATTTTCATGATATTTGAGTTGAGTCGGTTCTTCTCATTAAGTGCGACTGGTACAGTCCGATTCTAGAACAAATTATTCCCATGATCTGGTTCTCTTTATCGAATCAAAATGACGACCGGTGCAGTCCGATTCCCCAGTGAAGAACTCTTATGAGCTGGTTCATCTCAGTTAATCAAAAACATACAACGCGGCCAGTGCAGTCATATTCCCTAAATAACGACTCTGTGATGAGTCGTTTGTTTTAGAGAAATAAAAACAAGTATGAATCAGTCGGAGTTGTTTTTGAATTGATCTGACTCACTTGCTTAACCGCAAATTAATGGCCGATCCAAAATGAACCAAGGCTAACTGTAGCCTACTTAAGGTTCGTGAGACTTCAATGAATAAGTTTATAAGAAAATGTGCAGTTAAACATACGTACGAGTATTGTATATTCTATATATTAATTAAACACCAGATGTTGCCAGATTTTGCTTTAGTAACTATTATTTAATATAGGCTACATTTAGTTCTCACTTATGCCGCCCCTTTAAGAAGTTTTTTTAAAAGTCGGTAAAAGTTGGTGTTAACACAATTTTTTATATTATTTCTCATTTGTTAGCCTTTATCGGTTTTGTAGATAAGCCTACATGATTATCTCATTATTTTGGCAACAGACTAGCCTACTGAGGGCAGTAAATGCATGCCACACGAATCGCATGCATCAAAAGTACTCAAAGCATCATAAATGGAACCGAAACACAATTCCCATTCCTAAATATCACTATCTGACTCTAATTCTAAATTGCCAGGCTCAAACACGGTCAGTTCCCCCAGGCTGACAATTCCCCTGTTATAAATTAACGAGCAGAGTGCGATATTCTTAGGCATCATCCCTTTCCCAACAATCACAAATAGACAGCACGTGATTCGCGTCCTTGAGTGCATTCCAACAAAAACAGCAACACACGCTCAAGACTTAATGTTTCAAAGTTGCACGACTGGCTCTGTTTATCCGCTGACAGTTGTCATGCTCGCGCCGCCATTCCACACACTGTCGCGACATGTAACAGAATGAAAAGAACAAAAGCCGCCGCCACTACATTCGGCTCAACGTTCTCCGGTTGCTACGAAACCGGGGAACTCACTATGACGATCAAGAACGTGCAGATGTATCAGGTTCATTCACTGGCATACCTGTCATCGTAGCAGAAATCGGCGTCCAGTGTGTTGACATACAGGAGCAGTGCCACGGCGCTGCACACCAACTCTGCGATCATCTCTCAAAAAAGAAAAGAAGGAAAGGAATTTAAAGAGTAGAAGGATGATATTAAAGCCCTTCTTTGATTTCTCTCTTCGTCTTTGTCAAAATGCCTTTGCCAAAAAACAATATCCGAGTCCCCATCCTTGCAAAGAGTTGAAATGCATTATCCAGACATCCTCCTCTTAACCCATGTTATTTGCGGAGAGAATCCCGTAGGCTAGAGTGGATGGTGCACATACAGTATTTACAGTACGCTCGACTGTGTTTGGACGTCCTTACACCGAGAGTGTTGAGATGATGCATAGTGGACGCCGAATAAATGTCGTGATTGAGCCGCGTGTGGTTAGTGGCTCCAGTGCGCCTGCGCACAACCCCTCCTCCTGGGTATGTGTACACATACACACGGTCTGACTTAACCCTCTATTGCACGCATTCTGAAATGTGTCCAAAATATTTGATTCACTTTTCTTGCACATTTTTAGTCAAATAAAACGTTTTGAATAGCTATATTCGGGGGTGTTTCTTACTATATAAATAAACCAGTCATTTCGTGCAATCCAAATTGGCTTTTGGCGCCCCTAGCACCATTAATAACAGTGCTAGATACATTTTAAATAAGGAAAAAATATATGCTGTTCGATTAATTTGACCTTTTTAACAGGTATGCAATCAAGAATATTAAGATTCATCTTGTTATCTGCTATATTTGCTCTTATTTCTTATAATGATAGTTTGTTACATTTGATGTTGTTTACTGCACATTTTGCACTGTTATCATGGTTTATGGCAAGGCCACTCAGGATGAATGTTGATTTGTTATATGGACTTTAGTTTTACCATCTCTACTATTAATAGTGCTTATCAGTATATTTCAAGGTCAAAATAATATTTTAGCAGTCAAGGTAGATTGATATAGTATATAGTAACATGATATTAGCTTATGACACACGAGCATAAATTATTAACTGTAAAATATACAAGCACCAAAATGCCTCAAGTGTTCTCACCACACACACACACACACACACACACACTAGTCAACATTTGAAGTGAGTCAAAACCTTTCATCAAAGTTGTCCTAAAACCTAAAACCAAAATGTGTTCTTGTCTTAGATTAACTTTTTTGATCCACTTCAATATGTGTGTGTGTGTGTGTGTGTGTGTGTGTGTGTGTGTGTTTTACAGTGGAAATGAGTGCAGGAGTGTAGTGCAGAAATTATTTTTCACACAGATGTATTTAAATGGTGAAATATTTTGGGTGAAATTAATTTAACGTATTCATATGAGTCTTTCTTCTGTACCCTAAAATGCAGCTCATGACATAAGAGTGCAAGGCATGTCCTTTGAGTGAAATGATTATTCACGTCTCAGATTTAATTTGCTGTGGTGTTAACATTAATTATTGAATCATGTCACAAATATAGCGGCGTGAATTTAAAATGTGCTGAAAATGCATGCTAGACAAGAAAGTGAAATTCAAAAGGGAGTCATTTTGTGATTATGCAGATGATCAGCAGACCATTTAGGCACAAACTGAATATTATGACATGTTTTCGCACTTGAATTTGAAGCAGATGTGTCCCGTTGAAATAACTGGTGTTGCAATCAATTGTTTTAGGTCTGCAACCATAACCAACAGTTGTGATTACTGTTTATTTTGTGTATAACACTCAGTTCTTGTTAAAACCAGGTAAGTTATTATTAATACATATAACAAAGGTTATAATGATAAAAATGTCAAGTCTATATACATGCAATCCTTAATGAGCTTAATTTTTAAAACATCCAGTAGAGGGCCCACATTCAGGGGGGGAAAAATCAAGTCATTGTCTTTGGCAAAAGTGGGAAAACACTGTCTTTTCAAATGAATTGCTCCTATAATCAGGTCTTCAACCTACACATATTTTTCATTTAGCAGAGGCCATACGCTTTAGGCAGGCTTTATGTGTAATATGTACTGCTTTCTTCAAACAGCAGGGAGTATTTGGATCCCTTTGAAGACTTGAGAAATCGAAGAAAAGAAACTGAGGAAGAGAGAAAGAATCAATCTTGTAGTTGCTGAGGACACAAAGAGTGCTCTATGGTCCAGTGAATATTGATGTAATTCTAGTTCAATAGCGAGACCCAGGCTACTTAGACAGTCTTCAATGTGGCCATTCATAGAACAGCAGGATGCTATGATGTAATCTGTTAGAGAACTGAAGGAATCACAGGAACTGACCCTTCTGTCTCACTGTAACAGACTCAGTGGATTTTCACTGAAATTGTCTTATAGGAATGGGTGTGCCGCTACACAACCATTTGTTTTTTCTGAGACTGTAATTACCATTTTGCTCCCTCCTGACCGCATGACTTAATTTGAGATAATTTTGTGCACACAGCACTAAAAGAGTATTTTACATTTATAATGTTAGCTGTAATGTATTTCATTTTCACAAATTAAAAGTTTTCATAAATGTTACAGTGGTATAATTCTGTATTCTTACAATTTTTTCTAAATTAGTAGGTTCTATGTTTCCCAAATCCTGCTTTTTGGGTATACCACGTATCAGATCTGCAAACAATTTTTGTTTGCCTCCTGCTAGGGATATAGACGGAAACCTCAGAATTCCTGTCACTGTGATAATTCTACATAGATAGGGGCAGTATTTAAACTAAGACTCACAAATTTAGGCTTAGCACAGTCTGAAATCCCACAAAAACTCTTTTAAAGCAAAATAAGTAAGCTTGAAGTACGTGGCCCCTCAAATTCATTTGCAGCACAGTCCCAGCTTCAAATTACACGGCAAACTTCACATTTGAAAGTATAAATGGTTTGTTTGAGTTCACAATAAAGAGCTCAAAAGCCTACATATTGTTTGCTTATGGGTAACACTTTAAGCTTATGAAGAATTATATACCATGTAAATTTGATATAGGTTTAATGTAGCATGCGGGAATGTCATTACCTAAAGTATACTATCAAATTCCTGTATATGAAATAGGTGTAATCCCTCTTGTACATGTATTATTTGCACATGTCATTTGTCAATGTCAAATTTGTATGATTTTCTAATAATCTGTTTCCTGTGTGGGGAAAAACCTCCATTACTCTAAAGCGAACAGCCTGCTATTTACATGTAGCTTTTAAACCCAGTTGCCTATTAGTTATTTATATTAACAACCAGCACTTTTTAATGCATTATATGCTTCATAAATATATTCTGAAAATTTAAGAGGGCCCTTGATCTGTGGTTTACCATATATTGTTAAATGACTGAGCCGTTTTTGCAGTTCTGTTTCAATAGAGGGTCTTTTTGGATTGTGGAAATTTTCAGTTTTTTTACAAATGCATTTAAAGCAATAGTTTACCCAAAAATGAACATATGTTGAAAACGTACTCACTCTCAGGCCATCCGAGATGTAGATGAGTTTCTTCATCAGAACAAATTTGGAGAAATGTAGCAAAATCACTTGCTCACCAATGGATCCTCTGTAGTGAATTGGTGCCGTCAGAATGAGAGTCCAAACAGCTGATAAAAACATCACAATAATCCACAAATGATCCACATGATTCACCAACATGACTGCGAGTGTGATATTGCTTTAATTCAACAATTCAATAAACAAGAGGTTAATTTTAAGTACATTTTTGACACAATGTTGCCAGTTGTGTATTTTTGCTCCACTAAAGAAAATAGTTGAATTTTATGACTACAACATGTTATTTCTTTTTCAATTTCATTCAAAGTTTGTACTTTCTTTGTACTTTTATATCCATCTCTTTTCAAAGCGTCACCCCCTCTGTGTCCATCTATGCCCTTGCAACTGTTATATTTAATGAATAACAGCCATGAGGGAGACCACAAGATCACATGTCTACAGTTAAAAACAGGTTGCCTTCAGCCATATAAGTGATATTAAATCAGTCTGCCTTGAAATGAAATGATAATGTAGGAGGATGGTGTGATTGATGGGAGAACCTAGGTGGCGTATTTGACACCGTAAGATAAGAATGAGTGACACTTGTGATTGATAACATTTGCTCCTTCATTATTCATTTATGACTGCAGGTTTAGTAAGCTTGAAACCATGGGCTGCAATTGTGCACAAAATTGCATTTCTGCTGTCTTTTGTTTCACAATGCATTTTTGTTATTAACTTCCCATCAGTGTTTGAAGAGATAGAAATTTGCCTGGCCAAAAAATAAGCTGACCTTTAGCAAGACCATTTTTAAAACTCAGAAGTGCTGAATTCAGTAGAGTAGCAATTGAAAATGCCATTTCAATAACAGACCACATAGGGAGAAGGGTTCTTTGTGTCATTAGTGAGGCATTTATGAAAGAGAAAGTCATTCACTAGCAAAAAGGTTGTAAGTCAGCCAGCTTGTACTAAGAAAACGAACACATACCTTTCCTCTGCTTTTTGATTTTACATTTTGATTTCAAACATTATGCAGACCCACTAATAATGAACCTAAGTGAATAACTGCATACTGACCTTCAACAGAGGTAGGTTGGAAAACCGAGGCCTTTTGGATGTCTTTCAATGATTAAACTCAAAATTGAATTTGACAGATCTGGCATGTATGAGTCACTGATGACTAACTTTCACATTTCCGGTCGTATGTACGCATGATTTCAACTTTGGTAACCTTATCTGCAAAAAGAAGATGTTTTGCCAGTTCCCTACTGAGCACCTATGGTCTCGAAGATGTGTGTGTGTGTGTGTGTGTGTGTGTGTGTGATGTGCGGTATGAATGAATTTATGTACTTGGAAAAGATCCACTAGTCTACATTATGTGAGTTGGAGCGAAGTGTTTCATGCCCATGAAGCACAAAGAATCGGTATTTTACGCTTGAGTACCTGCACCTGCACATATTCGCAACACATCAGAAGTAGTTAAGGTTATTTCCAGCAGAGATGGAAATCTCAGATTACTCACAGAAGTGCGATAAAGAATGAACGGATGAATGGCATAGGCAACAGAAGACCGTAATACAAAATCTAACCCTGAACGTCACTGTAAAAACAACAGGAGATTATAGATAACCTTTCTTCAGGCTCACTTCTACATGAATTTATGTGTAAGGAAATTCCAGGGTGTAAAAGATTGCTTCTTCGTGGTATCAGGTAAAGGATCCTACCTTTTGCAGCAGAATATCTTAAATGTCCCATCTGTTTATGCTGTACGAATGTAGGAATGTGAGCATTTTTGTGGCTTTATTCTCAAAAAGTCATAGACAGAAGGGGGTCAATGACTGTCATTAAGAGGCTTGGATGGAGGCCTGTTCCCCACAACCGGCCCGTTCCAGCCGCCCATAGTTTCTCTCCGCATCCAATGGCTTTCCCACATCTGATTTAC